TAGACAAGGAGATTATACAGAAACCATTGTTCACTTTCTGTTAATTGGTTCTAAATACCCTGTAATAATGTCATTCTCTTGAATGGTTTTATAGTGTCTTGATATGTTTGGTGCTACAGTATATGAAGTTATACTCAAAGATTTCAAGGAAAGAGACACTATGGTAACTATTTTTATGTCAGGATATCTTGTGGTGAAACACTATTTTGCTTAAATGGTTATGTTTTGACCTGCACTGTTCTGTTGTTATGCCCTCTTTTATCTCAATCCCCCTTTTTTGTATTTACTTTTTCTTTTTATCTTTTTAATTAAGGGAAAAATAAATAAAAAATAGCAGGATACATTATAGTGACCTACTTTGATTTCCTATTAACTTGATTTGAAATCTTGTATTGCCCTCACCATCTTATTTTGACTGATTTTCCCCTATTCTGCTTTGCTTGATAGTACCAAGTTCGAAAGTATAGGCAAAACTGTGAAGAGAATAAGATTCATTATGACGCCCGTTCCAGTTTACTATTATCTTCTTTTAAAGTCCTGTAATGTCTCCAATGCTTTGGTTTTATTCTTTACTGTTTTGTTCAATTTTGTTATAACTGGCAATTCTTCTTAAAATAGCAAGAGGCAGTATGGTAACTATTGTTGATCACCTTGTATTGTGTTTTTATATTATCTATTATGTCCATCCTTTTGATTTGACTGACTCTGTTCTGATATGTCGCATTTGGTTTTACTCTCTTCAAAAAAGTAATAAAAACTGTGGGAGTAATAAAGCCCAAAATGTGTAATTGTCATTGTACAAAAGAAAAGAAAAAAAAGTGCTCTAAAGGTTATAACTGCATATATGTTTAAGTGTATAAGATAGATAACCATATTACTGAGTTTTGTTGAATCATTGAACAAAACTGCACTCTCACTGTTTGAAAGTCCACTTTATACGCTTCAATTTTGTAACCTGAACAACTATTTCTAAGATGAGAATATGTAATCTATTAACCAGTGATTTCTGTTTATTTTTTAAATTTTGTATTACTTGTAGCCTTTTTCTGTTTTTTTCTTTTTCTCCTTAAAAAAAAAAAAAAAAAAAGAAAGACAAGTATGACGTTTGCTTTCCTATATAGAGAGTAGAAGAGAGACTATTAGGAAAGATGGAAAACAAGGGATTGAGGGAGTACAGAGTAGACAAGATCAAAGCATGACATATGCATGTACAGAAGCATCCAAGTCAAACTCATTTCTTAATTTTTACAAATATGTTAATAATTATAATAAAAAGAATCAGTTCAAGTATAATCTCTAATACAGCTTTAAACTACTCTTTCCCCTATTCTCTTTTTCTCACTTGTTATCCCCATGTTCACTCCTTCCTCTTCAGTTTTTAGTCTTTTTCCTCTAAACTTTTTCTGTATGTTCCTTATAGAAACATTATCTTTTTACTAACATATGAACTACATAAAGGCAAGAATTTTAACTTCTGATCCCAGGAACCTGAATGTTGAGCTATAGAAGATAGTTAAAATACTTGTACAATCACCTAATATAGCCTACAATCTTTCATTGTACAGATGAAGAAATTAAGACCCAAATTATGGGGCTGGGAATTTAGCTCAGCAGCATAAGCTCCTGCCTTGAAAACAGGCAGTCGTGAGTTCCATCCCCAATACGGATAAAAAGGAAAACGCCAAAAAAAAAAAAAAAAAAAAAGACCCAAATTACACAATCTATCAAAGGTACTAAAAAATGCCACTGGGTTGCTGTTTAATAAATGCAGTATACTCTTTATCTACTATACCTCATTTACTGCTCTTTAGATGATTCAATGTTATATGGAGAAGCAATAAAGTAATCTTTACAATTTGAAAATAAGAGTTCAATCCAAGAACTTACAGATACACACCACAAGTCAAAACATAAATGATAACATCTAAGTGAATTACTAGTTTTCTTACTAAAAGACCACAAACTAGTCTATCAGTTTTATAAATAAAGAATTTAAATTTTCTTTATTTATGAGACTGGAGATTGAACCCCTAACCTTCACACTGACTCTATCCCCAGCTCTTCTCTCCCACCTTTTTCTTGTAACCTATGCTTTTTTTCAAAGTTGTACCCAATTTTAATTATAACTTTAGATATAACTCAGATTTTAGGCTAATTTTATAGGCTTACAAATGACTTTGTAAGATGTGCAAGTGTAGTCTAGCAAAACTATTATTTACAAAATATCAAATACAGGTCAAGAATGAAGGACTTAGAACTACCTGAAACCATCATATTACTTTTTTACTAAAATGCAGAATTTTACCCATCTTAGGCTAAACATGTCAGAAAAACATTGTTATATTTATAAACTATGCAATGTTGTAAGTTGTAATTTCTAAGTAAAAACACTACTAGATTACATGGTGTTGGGTCAGAGGCACAGCACCCTTCTGGCAAGCACAATTCCTGGTTCCAAAATGAAAAACAAAACAAAACAAAAAAAAAAAATCCACGTTATATAACATGGTGTTAGGGTTTAGATTCACCCGTCCTCCAAAACCCTCAGGAGCTCATACATAAGTGGGACTTCAGACAGTGATGTGATTAGATAATGGGGCTTGCCGATGACTTGCTACTAGGAGGGAAGATCTGGTCAGATCCAGTCAAAGAAGGCAGGTAACTGCTGGGGTGACCTGGAAGGACATGTGTCTCTTCCTGGCTCCTCCCTTGAGTTCTCTACTTCCTGGCAGCCATGACAGCGAGTGTATCTTGGAGCCACTGGACTGGGGACTAAAACCACTAAAAACTGTAAAGTGCAACAAACCTCCTTTAAATTGTGTGTCCACTGTTGTGTCTTAATAACCACGAAAGTGACTAAGACACATGAGAACATGTTTTTGAACATTAGCCACTAGAAATCATGATTCCAAACATTTGGAAATTTACCTTTATGTAAAAGAGAAAGTTTTCTTGTCCTCCTATAGGACTAAAATTTATTATACATACAATGTTTTAAAAACATCTGTAGTTCAGTTAAATCTATATGGTACTTTGCACTTTGGGGCTGCTCATTCTAAATCCCTCTTTTTACATCTGTGAAACCAGATTTGGGGGGGGGCGCATTTAGCCTAGCAATATAAGCACCTGCCTTGCAAGCATGCGGTCGTGAGTTCAACCCGGTACGGATTAAAAAACAAAACAAAACAGATGAACTACAAGAATTCTAATATTCCTCCCAGGTCTAAAATCCTGTAACAACTTGGAGTATATTTTACTGCTTATAAATAGTATGTGGATGGATTTTTTTTATGAATCATTGTCATAATGCACTGGGATGAGGGCAACAGATATACTACAAAAGTATCAATCACTAAATAAAACATTAAAGGTAATATAGGAACTTAATCTGTGATTATTCTATTAACAAATACAGTAATGCAACTTCATGAAAGGATTCTAGAAGAGACTCCTTAAAGACAGTTCTCCTAAGCAGTTATGCACTGTATTAACTTTTTAGTGAAAAGTCACTAAAAGTCTTGCAAATAGCACATGGGAAGCCAGTGACAAATAAAGATGAGGTTATTTTAAAACTAAAATTATATATCAATGACAGTCTTAGTGGGACAGGCCTATAATTCCAGCTACTCGTGATAGCAAGCTCCAGACCTGCCTGGGCATTTTGTGAGATCCTGTCTCAAAATAAATAAAAGCAGTTGGGTATATGGCTCAGTACTTCCTGGATTCAATTTCTGGTACTGAAAAAAATTTTATAAAGACCAAAAACTTAACATAATTCTAACTGAGCTATTCCATAAAAGCATACAAATAGTTTCAAGTATGGGGAACATGCCGATACAACTACTTCTATTAGAAGTTCTAACACACTACTGGGCTATGTGACCAACACTGTTGATTGTACTTTTTTTTTTTAAACTCACCGTTTCTCCCAGGTCTCAAATTCTGTGGCAATTTGGAGTACATTTTACTGCTTAAAAATAGTATATGGATGGATTTTTTTAATGAATCATAGCCATAATGCACTGGAACTCATTAGAAAAGATAGTGTTAAAATCCCAATTTTACCGATGAGAAAAATGAGGCCAAAACGTTTAAGTGGCTTGATTCAGTTCACCTAGCATGTAAACAAATTACTTCACTTCATCTGATTTTCTATTCCTGAAGAACTCAAAAAATTTGTTTGGCATTTCGAGTATATAACGATTATCCTCTTGTGTTAACTTATTCTTTAGAAAAATAATTAGATATTAGGATAGCAAATATCAACAGCACAGTACCATCTGAACTGCCTTCATTTCTGAATAAAAACAAATGTTTAAGGGCTGGGATATAGCTTAGGGCTACAGTGCATTCCTAGCATGCTCCCACACCTGGGGCCCCTTCCTCAGCACCATAAGACAAAAAGCAAACCGAACACCCCACAACACAAATGTCTGAACTTATTAAAAATGTGTGTTTCTTATTCTTACAAACATATTTCCTCAGACAAAACAGCAAAGATTAGGAGTACGGCACAGTAAATCATTAATTATTAACATTCTATAAACCTCCGGTGGCTGAAAAGGGTAATACAAGATGCAAGTATTTTTAATGGTTTGAAACCATCTTTCTATTATTGCCAAAATTCTTTTCCTAAAAACTTTTTTAAATGTCTTGCTAAAACTGTCCACAAGTGGCAGGCTGAATTTCCATACCGCACCCGCGTTCCCCGTCCCTCGCACGTTACTCTACCTATGGGAACAGTCCCACTTGGTATCTACACTCTACCAACTCCGGCGGCACCCCGGGCTCCCTTCTCAGCGCCCGCGAGCTAGCGCTCTGCTCGCACCCACCACACCCCTCGGCACCCCGCCCCTGGCTGCTCCTCCTCCCGGGGCTCTCTAGCTCGGACTCGGCACCTATCAGCGCCGCCCCCCGGCCCCTGGCCCAACCCATCCTCGGACACGTGTGAGGGTGTGTTTGTGTCAGTCTGTCAGTCCCACCGGGGACAGCTCGCTTACCGAGAGAGAAGCGCCAACTTCTGCTCCAGCAACATCTCCAGCTTCTGGCCTTGCTTGGAGATCCAGTGGTCCACTCCGTGCAGGCGGTAGCACGTTTCCAGCATTAATCTGAAGTCCGCCACAAACTCCGTGATGCCCCCGTACTGGCCCCTGGCGAACTTCTCCTCCATCTTCAACAGACACATGCCCTGCCCTGGCTGATGCGGGAGGGCGCGACCGCCTCGGCCCCCGCTGCGCGGCCCCTCGGCCACCTCCTCCTCCCCGGTAGCAACGCCCCCCAAGGGCTGCAAGAAGGGGGCTGTGAGGGCCCGGTGCTTCTCCTGCAGGAACTCGCCCAGGATGCGGTAGCCCTGCTGCAGCTCGTAGGTCAACTCCTGCTCCCTGCAGCCACCGCCCGCGACCACCATCGCCTCCGCTGCCTCCTCCTGGTCGTCCGCGTCCTCCGGCAAGGCGGCACTCCTTCCGCGGGCCGGCCCTGAGGCCGGGGCCCCCGCTGCCACCTTCTCTTCGTCCTCTTCCTCTGCCGCCGGTGGCGGCCGCTCCTCCTCTCCGGCCGGCTCCATCTCCCCCGGCGTCTCGGGCACGCTCATGTCCCCGGCAGGCCCAGGCTAGGCGGTGCGGAGCAGCTGCTCGAGCGCCGGGGGACGCACGAGCGGGCCACTTCCTCACGGCTCTGCCGCGCCGCGCAGCCCGTGCCGCATCGGGCCTCGCTCTCCACAGCCACCGGCTAGATCGGTGCGTGCGGGGGTCTCGAGCTCGGCGGCGGCGGGGCGGGGTTACATGGCGCGGGGGAGGGGGGGAGAGAAGAGGAGAGCCTAGGTGCCCTCCTCTCCCCTCCCCCCGGCGGCGGCGGCGCGCGCGGCCCTTGCCGGCTTCACCCTCCGCTCCCCGCCCGCCCGCTCTTCACCGGTCAGGCCCGGCGCAGCGTAGCTCGGCCCGGCCGCCTCTGCCTTGGCGCCCCACCCCCTCCCGGGCCGGCGGGGGCTGGGAGGGGGCAAGGAATAAGGAAGGAGGGAGTCCCTTTTGCTTCCCTGGAGTGGGCCGCAGCGCTGGGCCGCGATGGCTCCGGCTCCTCCTTTCCCTCACACCCCTCCCGCCCCTGTCTACCTGCGGGGAACCCGGACTGGAGGAGGCAGCGTACGCAGGGGGGCCCGGCGACAACTGTCAGTTAGAAACCCGCTGGGCGGGCGGGGGGAGGGGGAAGGGGAGGGGCAGAGAGAGAAGGGGAGGGCACTCAGCCCCCCAGCCAGGGAGAGCTGTAGAAAGAGGCAAAGAAAGAGCCACAGTCGCCATCACCGGCGCGCATGCGTAGAACAACAAAGTCCTCCCCCTGTCTCGCTCCGCTACGCGAAAGCAAGGACTTTGGCTTCACTGCGGGCCTGGAGACAAGGTTTGCTGCGCGTACTAATGATGTCATCAGCTCGCGGACGACTGTTAGGGGCCGGAGAGAGAGCACAGCGTCTGCGCAGCAGTAGTCGCTAGAGGAGATATTAATAGCAAGTGCCACAAAAGGAGGCTCCTTTTTCTAGACTTTTACCAGTCCTAAAAAGTTTACTATAAAGGAAGCCTCTAGATAATCTTTGTTAATGGATAGACTGCACAAAATGTATATGCTCTGCCTTGTAAAAGTTGCACCCCTCTTCCCTTGTATTTGCCGGAATTTTGCAAATTTAGATATGGAAGTTCAAGGACTCAACTGTATATTCGCATGCTAAAAAAAAGTGATTTGTAGACATCAAGTTCCTGATATTTGTTTCTAGTTCTTAATATCAGTTCAGATTTTGGAAATGAATTGTTTTCTGTTGAATTAAACATTTCCCCCACTCACTATATCCTTGAGTTCTGCTACAAATAAATGGAACTTTGCTTTAAAAAAAAAAAAGCTAAAAATAAGTCTCCAAATATGTCAAGTCTGAGCTGTACATTAGTCATTGATGTGGCTTTAGAATATCACTACACATTTTAAAATTACTGTTTAAATGACCAAAAACAGTTAATTTACATGTTGCTTAACATGTAAATTTATCTTGGGACAAATTTATGATCCAATAGAGCAGATAATACTTTTCATGTTCTCAAAAGATGCACATTCTTACCTTTTCTAGTTTTTTGCTTCAAGCAAGAAACCCAAAACTATACAAATCATGTATTTTAAAAATAAGATTAAGTTAATGGTAGAGATAGGCTTTTAAATTTGTTTACTTGTTACGGTGGAATTTACATAACTCATGAAACGCAAAACCTTAATGTGTGTGTATGTGTGTGGTCTGGTAAGTAGATGTCAGTTGTTGGTAAAATAGTGAAATGGAAACAACTGAATTTACAGTACTTATTCCAGAATTCAGTCTCCTCTCACTATGTAAGACATTTGTAATTTACAAGACATGTACAGGTTTTTTTTCCTCAGATGCTGCAGACATTCATGGGGGAAAAGGGCAGGCAACCAGTCCTACTTCAGCAACTGACGAAACAGTTGTGTTTGACTGGACAATCTTGAGAAAGCTCAGGAATATGAAGCCCAATAAAATATGGAAACAAATATAGTATCCCCTTCTTTTTAGCCACCAACCCTATTTCATGACTATCACATAATAGCTTCCATTTATTTAACTTTGTGCCACTAAGCATTTTACATTATCTCTTTTAATCCTAACAACAAACCTATAAACTTATCTTCATTTTGCAGATGGGGAAAGTAACACTTAGGTTAAAAAAGTATTTTGCCAAAATCACAAATTATCTGTCATACTTCAAAAATTTCAGATGCCTAATTCCAATTCGTCTGGAATAATTTATAATTCTTCAAACCTAAGAGTGTATAGAGCTGCTAGAAATGTCAATCAGGGCTGACATTTCAGGTAATGTAAAAGAGAAAAGTTAGCAGAAGAAAACTTCAATTTTAGTTCATGTAATGTCATGAAGATAGTAATCAGCTATTATGAAAGGATCATGTAATTTAACTTAAAAACACTTTACAAGAAATATATTGGTTGCAGGTAAATTAGAAAATATAGACAAGAGACAGGAAAAAAAAAAAAAAAACCCTACCATTTAATCCCAGCAATTATAGAAAACCTGTTAAAACTCCTAGGTAGTATTTTTCTACTTATTCACCTATACTTTAAATAAAATTGTGACTATATTATATATAATGTCAGCTTTTGATCCACATTAATAAATAATTGTATGTAACAGACAGAAATTGCATATGTAAGTTTTCAAACTTTATATTCCTGTCCACAATGACCTAAATGGCCTGCCATGTGAATTGGTAGGAAGTGAACTGGTAAAATTCTAATGTATAAGAAACTTCAAACTATAGAAAGGAATACACTACAAGTACAAATAACAGCAGTAATACTGATTATTTATTTAGTTCTTACTAGGTCTTAAATATTTGTTAAATATTATAAATACACAGTACTCTCAGTAGCCCCAGGAAGTCATGATAGATGTACAGTATTTGAATTTTGGATTGCTGATTTGGTTAGTAGAAACCTTTATCTATGCTACAAGAAGCTCAACACTAAAGACTGACATTCCAATTAATATAATTAACTCTAGATTTATAGAGCTTTTTTCTTCTAATACACACATGCTGACAAATGACTAGTCTCAAAACTATTTAATGTTTAAATATAAAATTAAATTTGGTTCATTTCTACAATAGCATACCTTCAGTGCTACTACAGAATGTTAGGTTCTTCAAAATAGAAATCTGTTTCAGCTGCATTCTGAATCAGAGCCTCTCACTGAGCTGCTTTACAGGGGAAAATAGCACATACACACGAAGCAGTAGTTTGTTGAAACACGTTAACACTAACATCCATAAATATTGTTATAAACACTGTTATAGTACCTTACAGGCTACCAGTGTTAGATATACCTGGACATTCTTTACATTAAGGATGGTTTGAAGTTCTAGGTAAGCAAACAAATGAAGAACAGTTTGGTTAAGGAGATTTAAAAGTAGTCATAATTTTTAGGATACCTTGGAAGCCAGAATGGATGTTTCGTTCAGTTCTCTGGAGTACACTATGAAACAGTTCATAAATATTATTTATTATAGGGGAAAACCCTACATTCACTGCAGTATCTTAAAACTCTCCCAGTTACTGCATCCTCCTTGTACCATAAAAACCAGAAGTAGTATAAAGGAGAAATAAGCCTACCACTATATCCCTTACTTTCATTCCAAAGATCTTTGTCATGAAAGTTCTTCTATTTTATCTTTAGGAGCTTTGAGCTTCTTGTGACAGGCAGCATGACATCCTGACACCAAGTACAGTATACTGCTTGCCCAGCATTTATAGTTCAGACAAATAGCAACAATTTATATACTTCACACTAGAGGGAAAGGTAAAAAACATTCAAAGACAACTAGCACAGATTATCACCAAAGTCTATGTTTAAGAGATAAAACATGCAAGATAAATAGAAGACTGTAACACTAATTCTGGAGAAACATGGGGGCTAAAAATATAAACTGCTTGACAGGAAGTTCTCTTATTTAATTTATAATGGAATCATTTACAATATTTATTTGTAGTTATTTTATAGATTATAGTCAAATGATATTAAAGTACTTCAAGCAAAATTTATCAACTCCTGCAGAGCTTCCTGCTGTTCATCATCAAGGTGGGATATGCATTCCAACCACAATTCTTCAGAACTCTGTACCTGACGAACAACATTAGCTAGGCGTTTGGCACAAGGATCTTCATAGTTAATAGTCTCATTAATTTTTCCTTCTGCAATTATACTGATTATTTTGGGAAGATTGGAATTATTTGGGCCAATTACAATTGGATGGTTACTTTCAATTAAGTCACAGAGAAAATTCAAAGTCTGAATAGCTTCCTCTTTGTCTTCATGCAGTGGAAGCCATGATAACCAATGTGGAAGAACTTCGTCTACATTTACACAGTTAGGCTTAAACTTCAAAATTTTCCCTATTGCTGAGATGCAATTCTCTGTAGCAATAACATTTTTTTTGGTTTTGGAATTTGCACACTTAATAACTTTTACCAGCAAAGGAACAGCTTCTGAACATAAAGAACGATAATCATCTCCACCAAACTGTGCCATAACACCCAAGCCATAAGCAGCAGCCTGCCTAACTTCAGGGTTGTTGTCTCGCATATTTAGTAGCATTGGCCACCGAAAATATTCCACATATTTAAATGAAGTTGGACTGCAGTGCTCTATGATATCATCAAATATGCACAATCCCCACTGTCTGTCTGGCCATGGCCTATTTGAACAAATAAGATTTACAATTAATGGAAGTAGCTGTTCAAACCATGGTAAAATCTTTTCCTTGTAAGTACTAAATAATGAATGCAAAATATCTGATACTTTGGTCAGAATGTAAACATCACACTCATCTTCATCTTGCAGAGACATCTCAACCTGTTGATCATAGTTTTCTTCTTGTCTTTTAACCTGTCGTAATTCTTGGTTTTTAAAGTGTCCTTCAAGTTTTGCTTTCAGTATTCCTCCCAGTTCTTCCAAGTGTTCATCATTAAGGCAACCATCTCCCATGACCTCAATGGATTTTGCAAACGAATTCATTATTTCTGAAAGTACATCTGTATCAGGTTCGGTCCCAATAGCTTTGATTAAGGGATCACATATGAACTTCCACATCTGTGAAAGATACTCTGGACCACGACTTCTTGCACATTCCAGGAGAAAAGGCATGGACTCTGCTGCTGCTACTCGAACATTGTCATGGAAATAAAATTTCAGTAAAGGAATCATCAGTTTAACAACTTGTTCTGTATATTCTACAAATCCTTCTCTTAATTCCTTAGCGTAGTAAACCAACATCTGGCAAGCAGTTGCTTTTGCTTCAAGTCCTGAAGTTTTAATTCCAAAACTTTGCTGATCTCCAAGATTTACAAATTGCCAACCATCATCATCACTCATATTCTCCACATCTTGTGTATCTAAGAGAGCCACATCAGGTTTAGCTGAAGCAGTCTTAATAAGAGGCTCAATAACTAGTGGAAGATACTGTTGAAAATCTTTTCCAAGAATTTTACACATTCTAGCCCATGCTGAAACCATATATGATGTCTGAGGGTCATCATCTTCTATATTACTTAAGTCTGACTGTGCCTTCAACAATAGCTCCATCACATTTGATATATCTTGCATAAATTTTTCCTTTCCAACAGCAAGACCAACGTGGCTAATGCACTCAATAGTCTTTCCTCTCAAAGTCTTGAGGTCCTTCTGAACAGCAAGCTCAACAATGTGTCTTAGTGAGGGCATAAATGTATCATAATATGGAACAAATTTTTCTTCCATTGTATCTGCAACTGAGGCAATAGTTGTCACAAGTTGTTCTAATGCCAACTTAGTACCATTTCGAATCAGCTCTTGAAGTTTAATCACCAAGATGGAATGTAGATTTTTTACCATACCATCCAAATATAGAACTAGCAGTGATTTAGGACAGTCTTCAATAAAAATAATAAGGGCAGAAGCTGCATGAGACTGCACACGCTGATTACCTTGATTTTCCATAGTACGTAATAAAGCTGCAATCACTGTTTCATGGAATTTCTTTTGGAAACTAGGTGCAAAATCTGTAGCCATCTGTCCAAGAGTAGTACAGGCTGCAGCCCTCACCCTTGGGTGAGGATCCTGAAGAAAAAGCAAAACAGAGTTTACTGTTTCATCTAGAATTGGTTCCATTTGCTGATGGCAACCTTCTCCAATGGCAGATAAGGCCATTAATCCAGCATGTCGACATTTCCAGTCAGGGCTCTGAAGCATTTGCATGATATGCTCTTTGGTCATTGGTAAAACAATTTTTCCACCAAGCCCACAAGCCAGCCTGTCTAGCGCACTCTCAGCAGCAACTGCATTGCTGTCAAAATCATCTTCTTCCATTTCATCAGCATTTACCCAGTCCTCATCATCTTGTAGCTCAACCATCATTGCTAATATATGAGGAACTGCCTGTGCAATAATATTTGTATGTTTTTTCAACATTGGAGTTGCAGTTTCAGACAAGGTTACTATCACTTCAAGAGCCAACTGGCGTTGTAGATTACTAAGTCTAGAGTCTCCACATAACTTCAGGCTCAATTGTAGAGTATCTTCTATATAAGGACCCAAGTACTTAGGTACAGTATCTGCAATCTCAACAAGAGACTCTAGTACTGAATCATCATCCTGGTAGCATGAATCATTCACAGCCTGTAAGATTCCAGGAAGCAAGTCTGCAAAGTCTTTGAAAAGTGCAATATTATTTTCATTAGCAAGTACGAATGCAGCTGCAGCTCTAGCAGATAATGTCCTGATTGCTGGATGTTCTTGATCTTGAATACACTGGTCCAACAACCTTTTGATGATATCCAAATCGTGTCGATCTTGGTTCCCAAAAATCCCAGGAAAGTGCCAGAAGACATGAAGTGCAACTTCCCATAGAACTACATTTTTAGAGTAGATCGAATCAATAAGGAACTTCAGACCTTCTGGCCAATGATTAGTGCCATCCTCATCTATCAAATTCCTAGCCAGCACAGCAAAAATATCACAAAGCTTTTTCCTCATGCTAGTATGTGTTTCTAACTTAACAGCCAGTATCAGTTCAATCTTGACATCCCTCTGAACATCAAAAGGCAGATTTGGATAGACCTCCTCAAACCCAGAGGACAAAAGCCGTCGTAACAGTGCGGCAGCCATTTGTCTCACCTCATAACCTACTCTTCTGTTTCTGACTGCATCTAATAGAAAGGTAGTCTTACACAGACCTGGTATGTTTTCATAGATTTCCTCTGCTTGCCTCCGCACCATACAGCTTGGGTTTATCAGGTTCTTCAGAAGCTGGTAAAACTCTTGCTTTTCCGACACGGTCCCCGGTACTCCTACAGAACCGGCCGCCGCCATCGTTCCTGGTCAAAGTTAGCGCGACGGGGAAGGAGGGACTGTGAGGAAGATGGGCTCGTAGCAATGACGTAAGCAACGCACCATCGGAGATGGGCGGGGTCGCTTCTCCTTGTGGCCGGGCGCCCGTCTATGCTCTTGGGGGTGGAGCTCCTGGTTCCCTGCGTGGTGTGAGCTGGGTACAAGTAAAAGGCAGTTTCCTTTTGTTTTCTGGTCAGGTAAAAATGCGTTTGCTGCGAGGGGGAGAAAAGAGAAAATAAAATGATAATTACTGTCTGTATTAAAGCGGGATGATTTTTTTCTTTGTTTCTAATGTGTACTGATGTTAGTTTGATAATTATAAAACACAAAGTGCACCTCGAGAACTTGGTAAGTAGAAGACAGCAGTCACAGAGACCACGTATTGTATCAGTCCATTCATATAAAAGGTACAGAGTACGCGAACAAAATTAGTGTTGCTAGAGGCTGAAGGGAAAAATGGGAAATGGATCATGACTGACATTAGTTATTTTTAATTATAAAAATGTATTTTGATTCTGATAATAGTTGCACATGTCGATGTTCTAATAAAAACCATTGAGATGTACAATTTAAATTAGCGAATCGTATGGTATATGAATAATACCATGATAAAGCTGTTTATAAAATAATAAATGACAACAGTGATTTCCACCCCACTACTACATTTAATGCAGTAGAACCGAAGTGCTCAAATTTAGGTGTGTACTAGGATCACATAACCTGTGGCTTATAAAGAAGAATGAGAAAGATCTAAATATAGTATGGTGGAAAATGACCTAGATTAATCATCAAAAGTATTAAAACCGTTTTTCACTGTTAATTACTGAAATTTTGTATCTTTGGTCATGTTGCTCATAGATTTTTCTTATCTGTTATTTAAACTGTAATATGAAGGGATTCAGTTATTAGAAATTTAACTATCCATTAGTAGGAAGCTATAGAGGTTTTTCAAACACACAATGTTCTTGAGGCTAAATGTTTCTTCAGTTCAGGTAAATTTATCAGTCAAAATCATGGTGGTCAAGGCTAACAGTGTGAGCCGAGCATGATGGCACATGCCTGTAATCCTAGCACTGTTGAGGCTAGAGGATTGTGGAGCACTCAAGAGCAGCCTCATCTACATAGTGATTTCAAGGCCAGCCTGAAGTATGTAGTGAAACAGTCTCGAAAACAAAAACAAAACAAAACAAAAAAAGAGACCTAATGCAATGATGATTAGGTCTTACTTTGTCTTAGGTTGCCACACTCATTGGAACCTTACACAAATCTGTAAGGTTAGTAGGATAGGTTTAATACTAGTTTTAGGCGAGAAATGGAAAGCTAGAGGTTATGGGATTTGCCTCAGACACTTGAGTCTCAATTCCACTTCTAAAAGTGTGACCAATGCTGTTTTCATCTGGGTGCTTCCCTCTAACTACTCCTGAGTTTGTGAGTAGTTCTTAAATTCTCCAAGCAGGCTTAATTTTAATTTTTTAAGTGCTGCTGCATAGTGACACAAAAATTTAAAAAAGCATAGTTTTCTTATTAACCAAATAATACAGCAAATAAGTAGTGTCATACATTAATTGTAGTAGTAAATCTTTCATAAATAGTGTTTCTCATTCTGTGGATTACATCAAAATCATTTGAGATACTTATTCTAGAATATAGGTGGTAGGGCCCATCTTCCAAACTGCTGAACCAGAATGTGTGGAACTGTAACCCAAGAATGTATAATTTGAACAAGCACATTGGATTATCACATAAATACTCAATTTTAAGAACAATTGATGAAATTTAACTCTGGTTCTGGTTCCAAGATCTTGATTGCAATTCTATATCTTGTTCAAGACTTATTGGTTTATGTACTGTTCTTTGAGAAAGTTTAACTGGAGGATCTTTGTATTTGTTGTTTTAAGAAATATTAACAAATGTGAAAAAAAGGCTTTGCTTAACACTACATCACTAGCATATTAAAGATATTAAAAATTGCAATGGAATACTATTAATGACCCACCACAGTGTTTTAAGTGTAAATGTTAAGACAATGGCAAAGGTTGGTGCAGGTGTGAAGAGGAAACTCGGTTATATTTTTGTTGAGAATACAGTTAAATTTGTGCAATCATTTTGAACTTTTTTTTGAAAAGTGCTAGTTTAAGATTATTCAGTCATTCCCTCAGCAAGTCTTCATTGAGGCTATGTGTACTGAAACATGATGGTAGGTGCTGAGGGTAAAAAAATAAATATCTGAGAACACTCATCTGAGAGACAGCAAATGTCATATGGTGTAGGGATCATTGTGTTAATGTCTGTCACAGAACCTATTGTGTTGTATAAGTACCTAATGGTGTGGAGTGTGGGAGAGGTCAGGTAAGGCTTCTCAGAAGAGGTGAGATCAGAGCTGACTCCCCCTCCCCTCTTCAGCACATTGAACCTGGGTCCCTCACACTGAGCTTCACAACCAGCCCTTTTTGAATTTTGAGGCAACTGTTAGTCTTTGAGTTGCCCAGTCAGAGCTCCTACTTTCAGTCCTCCTGCCACAGCCTCCCAGAATGATGGGACATGAGCCATGATGCTAACTTAGAGCTGATTTCAGAAGAATAACTCTTCATTAACCACTTTTAAAAAAGAGAAAGCTGTTCTAAGTAGAGGGGACAACTTATTGACATACAGAGGCCTTAGATAATACTGTGGTATGAGTCTGCCAGTGTCTCAGTATTGCAGAACATTCAAGGTGGAACTTGATGGGAGCCTACTCCCATAGAGATGCCATAGGAGACGGAAGAAAATTAGGAAGAAAGTTAAATAGAGGCCACATCACAAAAAATATTATATTCCATATTAAAATACTGGCTTTTTTCTTAAGGTAATAAGGAACTAGCTACTGAATGATTTCAATCAAGGACCACAAGATCATCAATTTTCAGAAAGATTATTTTGACAGAAGTTTGCAAACTAAACTGTAAAGACTGGATGTATTTAGGAGGCCACTAACCCAGTTAAGATCAACTGAAAGTCTCAACTGTATGAGTAACACAGAGGAAATGAAGAGAGGGCAATGAATTTAGAGGTTTTAAGTAATATTGGTAGTGCTCAGGAGGCAAGGAGAAGACTAAGAAATCTGCTGAATTCTACTTTGGGCATCTGATTGGAGGAGCTGCTATTTGCCTGTTTATTGACTTCTAAACAAACAAATAAGCAAACGAAAAACAATGTTAATGAAGATAAAAAGACTGTTAATTCTTCTGGAGTAAAAAGAACTCACTCAAGCCGCTGAGTACCAAGACCTCTGTTTTGTTTTCTGGTTTTTTCCACATACTGTAGTGAGAGTTTTCATTTCAACCAGTAGTGAGAACTAAACTGTACACACTTTAGAAAAATTACCTACAACTATCTTTTACTTTCAAAAAATATAAAGTGATTTAAAATCTAAAGTTTGCTTTTTACATTGAATAATTATTTGCTTTTCCCAGCATTGTTATTCTATTCCACTTCCCCTTCTAAAGAGTGCATATAATACTCAAGATTTCAAGACTGGACTTGCAGATTTGATCCCAGTTGAACTACTTTATTAAATTTTCTAATTAAAAGTGACTTTATTTGCACTAGTGGAGAGGCCGTCGAAAGAATATTTTCATAAGATGGCTCAGTAACAGGCAATTAAGGTGTTTACCAACTGAATAAAGCTCAAGATAAGTTACAGACTTTTTTCTAACTCTGAGAGATTAGAGTCAAATGAAATTAGAGTGTGCATACCTGAGACTTATACAAGAATAATTCAGGACAACAAGTAAAAAAAAAAATACAGAAAACAAAACAAAAAATACCATGAAGTCACCAACTGGCCTAAAATGGAACTATCTGAATATCAAAAAGAATAATTCCTGTGGTGGATTAAAAAGCATCAAATATGTAAACAAAAGTGATGCATTTTTAATATTTAAAAAGCCATTAACTCATTGAACATTTTTGAAGATTGCTAGGTTACCAATTCTTAAAATTGTTTAGAGAAATAAGGTTTTCCTGCACAAACTGTATTTCAAACTAACCAAATAGTTTATAAAGAAATGTTTTTCTTTATAGAATTCCATCTAATAGATGCATAAAGAATGCTGAAATTAAAAAAAAAACTGCTGTGTCATAACCTTGAATGAAATCATGAATACATGTAACAGTAATAATGCAGGGATTAGGCTAAAACCACTTGAAATTACTGATTAATCTGTACATTATTAAAAGTGAGATTAAACCAGAGGTGTCATTTGCATGTTGTCTTTTGGCTCTACATTCATACTTTTATAATATGTTCTCTAAGGTTAGATCTGGACACAAAATTTCTCCTTTCATAGCTGGATCTCTGTTAAGAGTCCATCAATAGGAATCAATAGAAATTGGAGGATTAAAAAATGAGTCAAGAAGAGAATTAATCCTTCTTGTTCTCAGCTGTGGGCTTTGCATCTTACAGCATGCTAAACAATACGGCCATATCCCATCTCTGCAGAGTATTAGCAATAGCCTGGGGACACCCCTTCATCCAGAGGTTTTGCATGCACCCCTCTTCTGAGCTCAAAATTAGCAGTTTTACTGTGTTCTCTTAGCTTTATGGGTGATGGAAGGCCCCACAGTTACCATTATTTGATTATATCTTGCCTCAGAGAAATTGCCTCTGTTCTCTCACACTTGTGTAACCTGTCCCTTAAATTAATTCTCTTTTTGAAGTAATTTGTGTGATTTCTATTTTCCTACTGGACTTTGACTTATAAACCAAATGATGCATGTATACAACACCACTTACAATATATTTTATTCATGTTTATGGAGTTAAAAAAATTTTAAGGCAGGGTTTTACTGTGTAACCTAGGCTGGCCTGGAATTCATTACAGTCCTCCTGTCTCAGTTCCCAAGTGCTCCCAAGTGCTAGAATTACAAGCATGCACCATCATGCCCAGGTTTTGAGGTATAATTTATATGTATTAAAATTTATCAATTGTGCCTGTAGGACCAGCACAAAGGAGGCTTAAAGCAGATTATTGGAGCTCAGGAG